CCGGCAGATGGGGCTTCTGATGGTATTTGGGTCGTCTGGAACCCAACTAAGCACCATCTCTTGTCGTCCCGCATAAGAGAATTCTCGATCACCGTCCTTTCTCGGGCTTCAGATGGTTATCCTCTCAAATTCTCAGCTATTTACGGGCCCAACTCTGCTTCTCTCCGTCCCCACCTCTAGTCTAAATTAGACTATGTAGCTTCTTTACCCCACACTGCGTGGTGCTTGGGTGGTGATTTCAATATCACCAGATGGTCTTATGAGAGGAACCTTAATCCCAACATCTCCCAGAGCATGTTGGACTTTTCCGATTTCATTTCTCGTCAAGAACTCCTAGACATTCCTCTCCAAGGGAATGGTTTACAACCTGGCTCTACACTGGCCAACGCCCCGGTCTACTTAATGTCCATCTTCTACATGCCAGCCTCGGTGGGTAACAAGTTGGACCAGCTCATGAGAAAGTTTCTATGGTCTGGTCAAGCGAAAAAAACTAGACATCACCTTATCTCATGGGATAGAGTCCGACTACCCAAATCCCAAGGTGGTCTAGGAATCAGAGACCTTAGAAAACACAACCTGGCTCTGCTAGGGAAATGGTGGTGGAGATTGGCCACCCAAACTAATTCTCTCTGGGCACAGGTCATTCGTAACAAATACAAGATTCCGAAACACAAGTGGGTGCCCGACAGAACCACCCGCAGCAGGGCCTCAAGAGCCTGGAAATCCTTTGCCTCCTCTCTTGCTCTTTTCAATCAATCCATCCGCTTCCATCCTAAAGAAGGCACTAGAGTGTCCTTCTGGTCTAATCTCTAGATTGGACACTCCCTCTTAGGGACCCCTTCCCCTCTCTCTTTCACCTTTCCTCCAACAAAGATTCAACCATAGTAGCAAAAATGGTCCTTTCAGGAGGCCGAAGAATCTGGAATCCCTCCTTCAAAAGAAACCTCACCAAAGCGAAAACTACACTCTTCATTTCCATGTCGGCTGCCTTACACCAAATTTTCTTATCTCCATCTGGGAGAGATTCTCTGGTATGGACTCTCTCTCCATCTTGAAAGTTCTCAGCAGCCTCTTTCTACAATAAACTTATTCAACCCCCTACTTACCCACTTAACCCCTTCTCTGTCCATTATTGCTCCTCCAAAAGTTCAAACTTTCAATTGGATTGCATGCTGTCAACGAGATCTCACAATCGACCAGCTTCAAAAAAGAGGCATTCCGCTCCCCAACAGATGTGTTATGTGCTTGAATGAGGAGGAGTCGAACCCTCACCTTTTCTTACACTGCAGTCAGGCCTTCGAACTGTGGAGTCTTATACTTCAGTTGTTCCGTATTCAATGGGTCCTTCCATCCTCGGTTAAGGCTCTCATTTCCTATTCAGGTTGCCACTGGCCTAAGGCCGATAGAACTTTGTGGAAGTCAACAATCGCTACTACCATCTGGGTCATATGGCTAGAAAGAAATAAGAGGGTCTTCCAAGGACACAAAAACGACGTCCCAGTGCTCTTCCATAAGGTTACTACCCACAAGGACTTCGTAGGGATCCCCACTAATACCTTCCTCAGTCAGTGGGAGAATATCATTCACCTCCAACCTCACAAGAACCAAAGAACTCACAATTGGCAGTCCCCCTCCAGAAAATGCCATTAAGCTTAACTTTGATGATTGCTCGTTGGGGAACCCAGGCCCATTAGGAGCTGGAGGGGTCTTTCTAAGCTACTCGGAATATGTGGGACAAGGAGACTCCCAGCTTGCTGAAGCTTTGGCACTTCTTATGGGCCTCAAAAGTTTTAACCCTTCATGGGGCCAAATTTTGGTGGTCGAAGAAAATGCCCAAAATATCATCTTTTGGGCAGCAGGCATTACTTCTCCTCCTTGGTACCTCTCCAAGATTTTTGACGAAATTTACCACATATGCAGGGATATGAACGTCTTATGGATGCATACTTGGCAGACGTTGAACGAGCTCGCCGATCTTCTTGCTAAAGACAGAGCAGGGGCACGTGTGGAAGACCCCGACCGGTCCATCTCCTTTTTTGCTCTGGACCACAGAGGGTATCTAGGACCGTAGTTAGCTCTTCTCTTCATCTTGTAGTCGGGCATACTTATGAGCCCCATTTTTTGCAACGCAAGTATTTTTTGTAATCAGGCACGTGACAAGGCCAATTTTTTGTATAGAGTCTCAAGACCTATTTTTTGACCAAGATACCCGTCTTGTGGGTACTCTAGGTCCTCTCTTTCCCCTATCAGCTGTACTCTTTCTTCATATAGCAATACGATGTTAATATTATCAAAAAAAAATTTATGAGAGCAGTAGCACGATTAACATGATGGTAAATTGTCCTCTAGGAATAGAGTTTACTTTCATGCATCTAATGATATACATGATGTACAATTCATTTTTTTATTTGATTGACAAAGTATTGTCGAGGTTGGGGAAGAGCATGTTATTCAAGTGGTAAATAGTACTGCTGCAGCAAATTTCGTGCTACCATTTTCTGGGGCTAAACATGGCCTCTTATCATTTGGACATTATGTGCAACACATTGCATAAGGCCTCATGGTTGAGGCTGTTAGTAAAATGTCTAGGATATAGGTTACACTTACTAGGGCTAAGACCGTGACAATATTCATTAATTTCATTTATAGTCACACAATCCTTAGTCTACGGAGTATAGTGGAGAAGAGAAACCAATTGAGAATGATGTTCACATCAAAAGAGCGGTCAAGATGCAAGTGGTCCAGGCATGCTCAAGGGAAGAAGGCCTATGATATAGTATTCACAAAGACTTTTTCCACCAGGGTAGTGAACTCAATTAAAGTATTTCTACCCTTAGTGAAAATTTTAAGATGGGTTGATGATGAGCTGAAGCCTGCTATGGGTACGACGCACAAGATGGAGCAATAAGAAGGATGTCTTTGGGCAATAAGAGTATCTATGGTGCTAAATGGGAGATAATAAATACAAAATAGGATAGGCAGATTCATCAACCATCACATGCAGCTAAGTCTTATTTAAACCCAAAGTTCTTCCATGCAGACCTGGATATTGAGAGAAAGGATGCAATCAGAGAAAGCTTAATGAATTTCTTGAGAGTCTAGCTCTCAACAGTGGATATCCAGGATAAAATATTGGTTGATCGTTCATTTGTATAACTGAAATCATTTAGGAAGGAAATAATAGTGAGACAAACAACGAAGTGAAATCCAAGTAACATATTTAATTGGAATAACTTCTTTAAGATTCATTCAATTTGATTTTTACACAGTTTCATATGATGTTGTAGAGTATAAATATCAAAATAAATCACAGTGATTGTATTTTGTACACTTTTGAATTTTCCACCCAATGGTGGCAACAACACGGGAGCAGTGCTCCAACTTACAGAGGATGCCCATAAGGGCATTGAGCTTAACATGTAGCTCATCCAATTGTGAGCACTATTGGGGCTCCTTTCAAATAGTAATTGACATTTATGATTTCTATTATAACTTTATATTAACTTGTAACTAAAAGTAACAAAATTACAAGTAACTTTTAAACTCTATTCGTAATAGTACTTTAGTAGACTATTAATCTATTCAGAATTTAAGACTATCTGTCGAAATTAGAGCACATGCATTTTAATCACAGCTACATACAAAGAGAGAGCTTGTGCAAAAAAGGCTCACTAATTTGGTATTTGGCAAGTATAATCAGAGGCCACAAGAACATTTTGAGAATCGTGAGAAGAGGGAAGCCAATGCATTGAAAGACTTGGATGATGCCACCGAGTGGTTGGTTAAGACTCTAGGATTGAGAGGTCCTCCTTGGTGAGGGTTGACTTGGGATATGGTTACCGAGGCTTCAACACTAGCTTTTGACCCTACAAGGGTCACTAGATCAATGAAACCCCTAGTTCACTGAGAAGGGGGATAGATAAGGAGTAAGAGGCGGATTCACAAGAAATAGAGGGAAGCCATTATGTTGAAGAGGATGATGATTGATGACGGCCTGGAATCATATGGAAACGCTCAAGATAAAGCCTATGATTATTATAAGGAGGACGATGATGGAAGAATTAATTTTACTTTTGTGTCATTTTACTTTTGACTCACAATATTCTCGTTTCGAATTTTGGCTTTTGCCATGTTGGAAAGGGTATGGACTACGGAAATTGAATTTTAGGAAGCTGGACTTGTAGTTGTGGTCTCGTATTTAGGTTATAGTTTTTTATTTTTATGGATATTTGAGTGCTTTATGGAATCATGGACATCATTTGTGATATCTTTTGATTTAATACAATTTCAAAATGTGATTCAATGATTTTGATTTGTTTCTCAGCATTCAGGCGCATATAAATGCATCTATACTTGGTTAAAAACACATATAAATGCATAAAAACCCAAAACTAATACATATATTCATATGTGTGTATTTAGGCTGCACTTATATGCATATATGCCTGCCTAGGCATCTCGAGAGCAAGGCACCATTTGTTATGCACTCATGGAAATCATTTGTTATATCTTTTGATTTAATACAACTTCAAAATGTGATTCAATGATTTTAATTTGCTTCTCAGCATTCAGGCGCATATAAATGCATCTATACTTGGTTAAAAACACATATAAATGCATGAAAACCCAAAACTAATACATATATTCATATGTGTGCATTTAGGCTGCACTTATATGCCTATATGGGCATCTCAAGAGCAAGGCACTCGCCTTGCACCTAGGCTCTCAAGTCCTCCCCACGCAACCTTCCCCCCACAACCCCCAACAGGCCCCCACCCCACCCCCCCCCCTCAACCTTCCCAAAACAAAAAAACAAAAAAAAACAGAAAAGACAAAAAACACAAAAAAAACAAAACATAACAAAACAAAACTTTTCTTCTCTCTCGCTCACCACCTATGTGTCATTTCTAACGTTCACCCCAACTCATGTTACATCACTGGAGCATGGCTAGAGAAGTAAAATATGACTAGAGAAGTAAAAGAGAAAAGAGTTATAATACCTCACACTTAACAAGACTTTGAGGCCCTTGATGAGTTTTGGGACACCAATCTAATGCCCATACTGATCCACCAACTTGCATTACAAAATCATTACTGCACAATTTATGTTGAAGAATCATAGCATCACTAATGGAAGATTATGATCAAAATAATTCAGGATGGTAACAAACATTCCATATTGCAGTATTATTTGAGCAAATATAAGCAACTTGCAGCATTAAAGCACCTGAAAACTACTCAGCAAAATTCATGACCTAATTTTATGATTTTTGTATTTTGTGATTTACTATGGTCCCGTTTGGTTCAAATATAAGTGTTTGTTGTTTGCATAGCATCTAGTAAGAGACCTGGAAGTTGCTTATCCACCATTTGAATTACTTTGAAGACATGTCCCCAATAATTTATACAATATAATATAATATTAAATATCTATTATAATATACAAATTACTTATATATGTCATATAAAATTAACTATAATCACAATATATAATTACTATATCTATATATCATTATTATATAATTATCAAATGCAATTAATGTTTATTTTAGATTTTGTATTAATTAATAAATATATTATAATATTATAATATAATATCATATAGTATTGTATTATTACACAATAATATAAAATTATTATAATATTCCATTATATACTTTATAATATTATATGTATATATTATTATATATATTAGTTATAAATTACAATATTATATATCTATTATAATAGACAAATTACTTAGATATAGCATATAATTAATTATGATTATAATATGTTATTACTATAATTATATATAATTATTATATGTAACTATTACATATAATTAATGTTAATTATATATGATTATATATATGAAATTATTATAATATAATATCATATAGTATATTATATTATTTATTGCATAATATTATGCATTAATATAACTAATATTAAGTATATATTATTATATATGAAAATATTATAATATAATATCATATAGTATGATAATATTATACAATAATATTATTATAATATTTAATAATATATATAATATTATATAATATAATATTATATATAATATCTATGTTATAATATTACATATTTATAATATATTAATTATGGTATATAATATATTGCGAATTATATATTTATAATTACTTATATACAATAACAAATAGTTTATTATAATTGTAATATATGTAATTATAATTATATAATTATTATGATTATTCATTTATATTAATTATTACAACTATTACAGCTCTAGGGTTTGAAGTGTTTTTTTTGGGTGGACCTTAACCCACTCTATAAAATATAACTTAACGGCAAGTTTTTGGGGCCCATAGCTCTCTTTTGATCTCCTGGAAATGTTAATTCCACCTATTTTGGTATTGACATTTCAAAAAAAAGGCTAAAAATGTGGAAATCGATCTCCACGCAGAAATGGGACTCCCACCCTGGGGGGCATCCAAACAGCATTTACGGGCAGTTTCCATGGAAATAGATCCAGGGAACCAAATGGACCCTATATGGTTTCTGCATTCTGGAATCTGGATAAAATTATAAATGAATTTATTCCTATTTCTGCTGCATATTGTTGCTTCAGTCAGTCAAAAGAAAAACCACCCAGGTAAACTAAACTCACTTGTATAGCCTAGAAAGATAGTCTAAATGTGCAGAAATAATTATTTATGAATCATGGGACAAGTAAGTAATCCCTAACAACAATGTCAATTAAAACACATTTGCTAGATCTCAACAAGTTTTGTGCTTGAAGGTTGCTTACACCCCTAAGTCCTGAGGTAGGCTTAACCCCTAAGGATTCATCTCCAATGCCAAAGCGCTAATGTATTCCCAAGAGCCCCATCCATTTATGGTTTATCAAGCCATTGCTCTGATATGCAATAGTTGACTCGACAATAATGCCCATCTATATAAAACCAATAGATAATGGATTCCAAAAATATTACGGGTTTGCTTTTCGCATCAGACTTGCAGTTTCCATGGAAGTCAGGAATTAAGACATCTCTAAATCATATTTGCTTAAATCGAGAGAAAATGTATAAGTGGGCAAAACATACAATAAAATTTGGCAACGCTATGCCATACTCAAGGTAGGCAAGTACTATTATGTAGAAAATAAATAGAAGTTTGAAAGATTTAATAGGAAGAGAAGGCAAGAACTTTAATTCTTTTAAAGTTGGTTAACCAAAGCAAATCAACAAGAATGCGAAATAGGATGTGAAGTACCTAGAATTTGTGATTTTGGTGATCTCAGGTGATACTTTCTCAATCTGCAACAGAAGAGTCATCCCAATTATAAAAAGAAAAGGATCCAAAATAGGCCAAGATATCGTGAAACCCAAAAGTCAGAATGTGATGAAAAGCAAGGAACATGTGATTACATACATCTTGCCACCGTAAAGTTAAATCATCAAATAAATATTACATATTGAACTAGTCCCAAGACCTAAGTTCACCATTGCTCACCTTAGGGACAGCCGCTGAAGAAAACTGAGGCAGGACAATCACTTTTTTATTGTCATTTACATGTTGAGATCCACCTTCATGAATGAATCGTAAAGTTTTTGATTCTTCATTCCAATATTGCCTCCATTCTCTATATAATAATAACATGCATCAACCTAGTTTACAGTTTGAACAAATAGATGATCCTATTAAGGTGACAAAGCTATTAGGCCAAAAACCTTATAAATACAGGTGGTCTATGCAACAAAGCATGAGGTAAGATGCCAAAACAGGTAGGCAGGAAAAGTAACAACTAGTGAATAAAATGATAATTAAATAATTTAACCTTGATATAAATACCTAAATTGAAGGATTCTTATGCTACATAAATCTTCTAGATTTATCAAATGATGCCGATGTGTGTGAGATCTAACTGTTGGTGTTGTTAATATAGTGACAAAAGAATGGAGAGCCGACAATCAAGATCTATGGCAAAAAAAACATGATTATTTACTGGATACACCACACCCACGAACCCTCCCTCCCTAACTACCTCTCTGTCAATGCATACGATCTGACTTTTGGTTATGTTATTATAGCATCAAAAAATAGAGAGTTGACAATTGAATATATGATACGGATTACGGAAACATGATCATTCACAGGATTACATCACATCTAAGATGCCTCTCTCTCTCTCT